CTTTCCGATGGAGTTTCATCACCATATACTTCGGATAAGCGATGCGCTTCAGCTGCGGTTTTCTTGATATCGAAGTAGTGAAGAAGCACATGTCGGAAAAACAGCTTATCGCGATTCATTTTCAATCGATTGGAAAATCTCTTTGGCGTCGAGAAATCTAACCTGTGAGGATTGAATCACTTTTAGCGATGTCTAAACTACAAAAGACATATAACTTCGCCAGCGTTGGAGCCAGCACCCTCTAGTAGCGAGCAGCAGAAATTAAGTTCAACACCTAATAGATAGCGTGGTTAGAACAGGAGATTTCTCATGTTTTAAACGGTGACAGGTCGATATCGAGCTTTTACTTGCCATCCCCGAGAATACATTTAAATTAACGATGATTCCGGAACAAATTTTATTAAAAAATTGACGCACCGGCTAAGGTTGTGATGAAAGGACAGAGTCTAAAGTACTTTAGGCACGGAAATACAATAAGATAATAATGAAAAGATAAGCATATTAGTTTCTTGTTTTCCAGTTTCTCTGATAAATTTCACTTGTTTGTTAGATCTTTTCCCAAACAATATATTTTAATATATTTCTTTTTTATGTTAAATGATATCTCAAAATTTATATAAAATTAAGATATAAAAGAAATAAATCATAGGTTTAGAATTATTAGTTTGTTTTTCATCAACATTTAATATATAAAAATTTTTATTATTGTTATTTTCATTCAAATTCTCGAAAGATAAAATACACTGTTAGAAATGTTCTTAAATTTCATTAACTTTTAATGTACATTGGTGAATGAAGTTTAATTTCTCTGTAACTGAAAGGACTATTAATTCACATGTAAATGAGATTTAAGTTTACAGTAACTGAAAAATTAAGTGTAATGAAATATAATATACTTTTCATTTACGGATATAAATGACATTTAATTAATCGTAATTAAAATAACTATTAATGTACATATTAATGAAATTTAATATACTTTTACATTTACGAATATTAATAATATTTTAATTAAGCCTAATACTATTAACGCTTAACGTATAATACGTTTACGTTTCTTACATGTCATTAACGTAGATTACTTTTCAGTTACAGATCTCGTACTTTTTATTAACGTGTAAACTAATTTCTATAATAATGTGTTCATTAATTTCAATACACACGTTCATCACATTTAAGACTACTGTAATTTGGTTTTTATTTACATCATTCATTACATTTAATTTCGTGCATAACCACATGCTTCCTTTACATGTTAATTAAAATTCATTGAGAAATTTCTAACAGTGTAGATATAGGAACCAAGTATAATATTCTTTAAAAATCTATAATGTTTATTTGAGACTCTGTAATACAGTATTCATAAATTTAAATAGTGAGTATTTAAGTATTGTACAAAATAGTTTCTTATAATAAATCAAATGATGCAAGACGGATGTTGATAAATGATGACTTCTTGTGTTTTATAAACGTTTAAACACTTAATTTATCGATCTATTTTCTTCATTGGTTCTCCTCATTAAGTACGCACTTCTGTAAATTATTTCAATACAATTTAATTGACGAACAATATAACGAATTACGAAAGAAAATGAGAACATACATTTCAAATCGAGTATACTTTTCTATAGAATATTCTAGATCAATTTTGAAAACGCAAACAAGTCTACCAGATCATGTACATGGTAGACGAAGGACTATGGGCTCTCGAAGCGAATGAGATTGGATACTTCTGGCTGTGGACAGACGCCGCATATCGGCCAAGGATCCTCTAGCTCCCAAAGATCCGGCGGGAGATGCTCGCGACCAGGTGGTGGTCCACGTGGTGGACTTGATGGATACTGTTCCACGTCGAAAAACCTCTCTAGCTCCTCTGGATCGAATGGAGGATACTCGTAAGATGCCTCACGCCTTGGTATGTCGCGCATCGTGGTTTTTATCCTAGACACAATTGGTATGTCTTCCTCCTCTTCCCAGGATATATCGCCCTCACGTAAAAACTCCTCCTCGAAAGGCACATCAAAACGCAAATCCTCCGGCAATGACTCTTGAGCTATCCTCTCGAATTCCCGTTTAGTTCGGCGAGCTGCCTCACGTGCCCTAATTCCAGCCATACTTCTTTGGGCAAATTCGCGTGCCGCCACGACGGTCGGATGTTCTCGACCGTATTCGACACGGAACATCTCGCTCTCAATGTCAGGAACTCTGTATTAAACACGGGCATTGATTAACTTGATAATTTCCAACTAACTGGTAAAAGTGATGAAACTTTATCAAAAATTTTTCTCTTGTTTTTTGTTCAGAAGTAGTATATGGGCAGCCATGGAGCGTCAAAACCCCCCACCACTCCACGCCTAGAATCAAAACAAACCCCCTCTCCTTCCCTTGGCGTCAAAACAAATTCCTCCTCCACCCCTAGACGCCTAGACGGGCCTGTCTGGTAAAAGGGAGCGCTCTGATTGGTCGATGACGCGAGAGTGGAGTAGTGAGGAAATTAAATAGCGCGTTTTGATTGGCTCGCTCCATGGCTGCTCACGCTATGATTAATTCGCTCCATGGCTGCCCACGCTACGATTGGTAAGAGAGAGATCGCGTTGAGAGAGAAAGAGTGAGAGTGAAAATGTAAAGCTGCCAAGTCCAACAAAACGGTGGAGGTGGGGGAAAATCGGGGAAAATAGGCTCTGAGACATTTTTTTTGATGGGAGAGGGAGTGAAGGGGAAAAGCTTCGGAGATGAATGCGGGTATAATTTATGACTCTTCGCTTTTTTTTTCGCCTTGGAAACACGTCCATGCCGGGTAGCACGCATTGGAGAGTCTTTCTTTATTACTTATTTATTTTTATATTATTTATATGGCTGTGCGACCGATTTTTTGTCTGGAAGGACAAGAGGAAAACAGGAATGGACAAGTTCATTCCTCTTTGTAACAGAGCTGAATTGATTTACCCGGTTTAGTGAATAAATTCTTTTTTTTTTAAGAATTGGAAAGAGTAAGGGCACTAGGAGTCAGGCGCAGAAGACGTCGCGCAAATAATACACTTCTTTTTTTTGCACTTTATGATAGCGTTGGTCTTATTTCGAAAAAGTGTAAAAGTTTATATTAACTTAGTCCTGACAAAAAATATGAAAAAGATGTCGATTGGAAGGGAACGAATAATTAAGAAACAGACGAGAGTTTATGATACAAAGATGTATTTATTGATACAAATTTTTCTTCATAGGGAAATACATATAAGAATAATCTAAAAAGATTTAGAACCATTAAGCGAAAGATTCACGATTCGAGAAGATTATATGAAAAATTTCATTATACCCCGTAATGAAATTAATTCCAAAAATATTGTATTAAAATACATATCAAGAAAAGCTAAATCGTCAATTTGTCTACGTACATTGCGATCAATTTCATCGTAATTTCCCCGTAGCGTTAATTTTATAATTTCCTGATTAATAGAACTTACTGGAAGTTTCAGCTCGATGCCTCGAATTAAATACTGCGCACACTTGTTAACATTATCGGTTAAAGATTCTAATTGTTTTAAATGCGCGTTGACACATTTCACAATGTTTTGCAGACCGCGAAAGGTAGTCTTCTGCATTACTATAGCCACCGCGTAGGTTCTTCTTTTCTTCGACGGTGGTGTTGAATCGGACGCGACCTCTTCTTTTCCGAGATTTCCGCTGATATCTTCCGTAGAGCGAAGTTCCTCTTCTTCTTCTTTATACGCCAATAATATTGATTCCGCAGCATAAGATGTGGTAAAACTGATAGAGATATTTTTTATGACAACAAAATTCATTTTCGCTCTGTTACCACTACTTAAATATTCGTTCATGTGCCCCATGTTGTCTTGAAATTGTTTCCAACTGTCGGCGTTGAAATAAGTACCATCAGCATTGTTTCCGCACAATTTTACAAGAGGCTTAAAAATTCCCTCATTCGTTCTTTGCAGACTCACATGAATTGTCTTCGTATGGGAGTTGTTGAGACCATACGTTGTCGTAAACAACATATGAAATCGTGTGTTTCTTCCCACATCGTCGTTACACGTCTTGAAAGAATCCGGATTGGAGTACATTTACTCGTCTAAATTATTGGCGACTTTTGAGCTGGCCATTGTTCTTACTTCGCTGTAGCACCAAACGACACAATTAATCTAAGATGGTTGGGTTAAAACTAAGAAGTACAACACTTGCTTGCTCACGAAGTTCGAGCTAAGAACAACGAGACTCGAATGAAACGGACTCGTGACGCTTCCGACGACATTATCTCTCCCTCTCCGATGTTACTTAATAAAAATTATTCTGCGCGCGCAGAAGAAAAAGCAAAAAATCTAGACTGTTCGTTTTACGATACTTCGACTGTTGAGTTATAAAAATTGTTGAAGAAAGAATTCTGTCCAAATTAACATAAAAAAATCTTTTAAATTACTCTGTAAGAAAAAAGCCTTTCAAAGAAGACTGACAGGGGAGAGATAAACAAGAGGGAACAGGAACGTACAAGTTCGTTTTACGTTATGTGACGCAGTTACTTTTCCAGAAAGAATTTTTCACAAATATGCTCGAATTCATAAAAAATCGAATAAATCGTTAAGATTACTCGAATATAAAGTACTATTATATTTGAAAATAATTCGTCATGATAAAAGAAATATTCTAACGTCGAATTTATTTTTCATAAATTTTAGAAATATTTCTCACTAGCATGACTGAAACTAAGGATGCGCATAAAGATAAAAGTTTATCCGAACAAAAAAAACAATTTTAATGTTTAAAAAAGATTCTTTTCTAACGAAAGAGAAATGTCGTCTCTGAGGAAAATTATTTGTCATCCGTCATAAAACTATTTATATAGCATATAAAAAATTAAGTCTTAGTTATATAACGAAAGTTAAAAAAAAAATTTAAGTGACGAGGGTTATGTTCAGTGAGTCCACGATTTTTCTTTCTTACGTCACACAAAATCTAACAAAAATCAAACGCTACATGATATAAGAATGAAATTTCGTTTCTTCTTCATTGTAAAAGTTTATTTTATGCTTGTCATAGACTAATAGTATATGAGAATTTTTCTAAAAAAGCGGAAAAAATAGGAAAGATTAAATTTAAGTTACTCCGACAATAAGAATACCATAGTACGAAAAAAACCTGTGACAAAAACTTATCCGAGATAACAACGAAAGTGAAAGGAAAGGGTTTTCCTAAAACGTGTGGTGGAAGTGATGCTTATATGCGAGAAAGGGAATTTTATGTTGTCAAGATTTGTTAGAATGTTGTTCGTAACCAGAGAGTTTTTATCATCTCCCACTCTGAAAATTTTTCAAGAAAATCTCGATGTGTAAAAAGAAGGAAATCAATCGGAAAAATTGTCAGAATCTATTAGCCAATGACGTAGCTAGAAATTTTTATTGATTTATCCTTTAGGAATTTTCGTGAATATCAGTACCGTATATGAATATAGCACGTATCGAGTGAGTTAAGGACTAGTCTTACGTTTTCTCTGTCAAGAGTTGAATTTCGTTGTGAAATTATAAAATCAATAGTTTCGTGAGCGATAAAAATGGCGCTTCGCGAATCGCTTGCAAAATTCTTTATCGTCGCCTGCAACTTGAATCAGAAATTAGTTGCAGCTGATTATCTGACAAATTTGAAAGATAATGACGAGGAGAATTATTCAATTTTCGAGTGTTTCGCAGGTGAGTGCTCCAGTACATTGTTGTACATTATGCACAAGCTAGGGCATTGCGGCGGTGATGCGAGATTGATGGAAATAATCTCGCATCATTTAGAAGTACGCGAGTGCCTCAATCACGAAGACGATGTTGGAGGTTACATAGCTGACTTCAAGCGTCGCACTGAAAATAAACAGTAACAATATATTTTTTAAAATAAATCAAAGAAAATTTTACTAAAAATTCGCTTCATTAAATTCTAATATTTGTTTCATAATTTCAAATTGCCTTGTAGGCCGTGTGATTCCGCATCGTGGGAGACACCCGTCAGGCCGACTTAGTTCGAGACGACGACGTCCAGCCGAACAAGCGATTAATGAAGTCGTACCAACACGTAACTTAGAAAATAATAAAAAATTAATTAAAAATTAAATTGCAAATTGAATTACCAGGTATGTAAATATGACACCGGAATTTTTTGATACATAATACACGTTTATTGCATGAAAATGATAAAAAATATTTTATTCGAAGTATTGCCCATCGCTAGCTATACATTTTTTCCACCTGTCTGACAATTTGTGGA